ACCCAAGCCCTCCTAAGACCCCATCAGGGCAGGAACCAATGCCCATGGCCCGGAAAATCGGGGCCTTGAGCCTATGGACACAGAATTCTCGGAACCGAAACAAAGTAGGAACCGAGCCTATAGAGCAAGTACTACAGAAGGCAGGCATATCTGTCGAGTACACATTAAACACGTCAAGAGAAGTTCCAAACTTCGACATCAACTGGGATGAAGTTGGAAGATTGAGCCATATAGACCATGACATCCAGGAACATTGTCGCATTTTTGGCGATTGGGTCCGGTTTGAGCCTTCGAGCCATTAAGGTTTCAAGGTCTAGGGTCTCTTCTTTTAAGGTTTAGGGTCAATGGTACCATCGAAATCGCAGGGAATGATAGAAGAAGCCGTACTTTTGGGGTACTTGAACCGGTTTGAGCCATCGAGCCATAAAAGTCTTTAGGGTTTAGGGTTTAGGGTTTAGGGTTTAGGGTTTAGGTTTAGGGTTTAGGGTTTAGGGTTTAGGGTTTAGGGTTTAGGGAGAATCCCAAGTTTCAACATATTTGTTGCTTGCTCAAGCAATACGAAACCCTCCGANNTTTCTTCGAGATCGAAGCCTTGACGACCGTATAGCTTCGTGCCATTCCACACATGCTATGCACATTAAGAATGCATTTGAAAGCCTCACAGGCGGACGCATCCAGACAGGGCCTCCTCATTTTCCACCACAAGCCTTAGCTGGTATTTAGGATTACACCGGTGATATAATCTATATAGTTGAACGACGACGTGGTAACCTAAAGACCACATCTAGCCTCGAGGTGAACTTTGTAACCTATAGCTTTAAGTTCGATGCCTGGACCCTAAACAGACGACCCGACCCTTACAAGGTTTAAGAAAACATATATATATATATANNATTCGGCTCAATGATGGACGGCGCGCCTGCACATGTAGCGCCGCAGCATGTTTCGCTCGAATGCTTTGCCGGACAGCACACTTTTGACTGCCAATGGCTTCACCAATCCCAAAAAATCTTCTTCTGCGAAACAATGATAACTTCGTGGGTTGAGTCCTTAGATCTGGAATTCGACATCGATACATAGCTATAGAGGAGATGGCATTCGCAAATATAGCTGCGCAAGCAAGAGTCTTTCCAGCAGGATGCTGCGGAGCATCTCGTCTAATGTGTGCATTTTCGGGCGCAGGAACCAATGCAGTTCTTGCCGCCGCACATAAATCAGCGCCGCCTCCCGAAAGAGCTTCAAGAAGAGGTGGCCTGTAGATCAGGAACGCACACATCGGTGAGGCACTCATCCAACGGGCGTCGACTGTACTGGAACCAAGCCTCGTCGGTAAAGGCTCTGTGCTTCTTGCGAAGTCAATAAAGAGGCAGCGTCTTCCATCTCATTCTGAAATTGGCTGNNTCAATTATGCACATCCCCTTCGATTCATTCGTTCGTATATATGGCCACTATAGCAAGGAAATCGTGTAATTTGGTGGCTGGAGCACACACATGTGCAAATGATCTCGTGCAGCACAAGATCGGTCTCAGCCATAGACGCCCGCATCGTGTCTTGAACACGGTTGTCACACAACTGCGCCTCATCGAATTACGTATACATTTCGAATTATATTATTAATAGCGTCGAACTTAAAACGTGTTGCTGACAAGTCTCGGCCACGAAAGCAAGCACCACTCTCGTATTATACGCCTTGTATCCTAGATATGGATAGTCGGTGCTGCAGAGGTGGAGGCGCTTGGAACTGAACATCCGCCCTGAGCATGTCAAGCGTGAGCTTGCCATCCACGACTTGAATGCGACATAAGCATTCGCGAGGCGCACGTCGATGTCCAAATGGGGGCCTCCAAAAACACCATGACGGCAAAGCCACAACAGAGACTCAGCAGTGACTATCTGGTAGATACCCAGCTGGAGAGAGTGCATCGCGCAGTATCTGAGCAGCTGCGGGTGCCATCCTGGCACTAGCACCAACGGGTTGGGTTGGGCAGGCATCGAGTTCAGGATCATGTCGACGGGGGTCCTCCGCGTGAAGGCGGCGCCGAAAAGAGTGTAGCATGTGCCATGCCGTGCGTTCAAGGAAGCATGGCACAGGAAGCAGATCCTCTTTGTGCGCCAGTAGGTCTGGAGTGCCCAGCACTTTTCGTGGTATTCCCAATCCCCTTTGTATTGGACGCAAGCAAATCGGTACTGCATTGCAGGTTTGAGCTTGCGATACATCGCCGGCACGCTGTCTGCCATATTGTCAGGGCCGACTTGTGGCCGCCGGCCTCGATAGGCGATGGTCAAGCTCCACATCGTCCGGTGGTATACCGGTCTCATGGTCGCCTCGGGTTCAAAATTTGGGTCCAGAATGTACAATATGGCCGCTATGCATTTATCGATCGAATGAACCCGAGTCACAGCACCGCAGCTCCTGAAACTGTTGACGACAAAAAACATGAATGTCTTCAGAAAAGGCCGTCCTGCCAGGGATCTGGCTGGTAGGATTTCTCAAGCGATCGTGCTTTGCGCAAAAAAAAAAAACCCTAAACCCATATTATATAACTTAGAAACCACGTACTACACACAAAGGATTCAGCAAGAGCCTTTGACTTTCCGCATAGGAAATCCAAGAAGAAGAGCTGTGAACTTGTCGTTCTCCTTCGTAAACTGTGCTGTGTCTCCGTAAACCTGGCATCGCATGTAAATATTATTATAATAATATTATAATATATATATATATATATACCCCATATTTTAGTATCAAGCGTATGAACTGATCATTATAAGCAGAGGGACAGACACCGGGATGCATTTACAATCCTCATCACGAAAGTTGCGCGCCCACTCCACATCAAGTCGATGGAAGTGCTCCCACCATGTCCTTGCAAGGCGTAAAACCCAAGGCCCTGCTAAACCCTACCACTAAACCTTAAACCCTGGCTTTTGAAGAATTTGCGATCAGACTTGCACAATCGCCCTCGCAGGTGTTTAAATAGAAGCCTGTATTGGAGCCCTAAACCTCTAGACTCGAAATTCGAAGGCTTAAACCCTAAACCCTAAACCCTAAAAACTGCCATTGTCATTTCGGGCATACATGACCATGATCGAACTGGAAAGATGTCAGATACTACACTTGCAATATATTCGAAAATTCAGCTAGCTAACGTAGTAGCGCATTTCGCCTCGGCACTTAATGTCGTTCTCGTTGACATCTACACGCCCTGTGCTGACCAACCAGTTCAGCAGCTCGTGTGGGTCGTAGAAAGGCAGCTTGGTCAGTTCAGCATTGTCCGGGTTCGGGTCCAGAGCTTTGAGGAGGGGAACTTCCACTTCGGACATCGCCTGCAAGATTCCATTTATCATGCATTACTATGTACATAGGATCATGGTCGCTATATAAAAAATATAATACCCTTCATGCTTGCATTCGAGTAGCCAAGGGCAGCTTCACAAATCTTGATAGATCTCGGTTGACATTATTTCTACTTCTTGTGATTTTGGACATCTTGGACGTGGCTCTGGAGACGTTGTGCCGGCCAGCTTCCTTCAGGGTTTAGGGTTCGAAATCCACTTCATGGGTCATGATTTGATAACAGACTAAACCACTAAGACCCTTAAAAGTGCAGCGATCTTGCTTTGCGAAGCATGCAATAGAAAATCTAATGATTCGGATCATACATAGGTTGCATAGGTAGCTATATAGAATGGAAAGTATATTAAAAGCCACCACGGTCCTTCACAGCAGCTTGGGCACTCGTCACGACACCCAGGGCAGATGAACGACCCTCGCCGAGAGCCTTAAACCTGAGGGCCATCCGTTCCACTGGAATCCCTTATCTTCGACCTAACAAAAACCTCGACCCTAAACCCTAAACCCAAAAGAAACCTCAAATCCAAGCATACAAAACCCAAATATTATAATGTTCCCGGGTATTCAAGTCCTGCTTCGTCCGAG